TTTTCTGAACCCTTTCCTACAGCTTATACTCCAGGAGATGGTTCCCTCACACTGGTTTGCTCAACACACAAGGCAGGTACTTTTAAAGGCCAAGTGAAGAATTAAAAATTGATGGCACGTTGCTTGCCTGTAACTATTAAGCAACAGTTACTTCATAGAATGGTTTGGGTTGGAAGGGACCTCAAAGACCATCTTGTTCCAACTCCCCTGCCATGGGCAGGGACGCCCTCCATGAGACCAGGTTGCCCAAAGCCTCATCTTGAGAGCATCTGACCTGCAGCCCAGAAAACATACAACTTAATGAGCAGAGACATCTTCCTTCTCTTAGGCGAGAAAGACAGAATTACCAAAACAGCGGTCAAACGTTTAAATAACCACATTATCCATCTGAATTCCATGGCACGTCACAGAACAAGGAGAGCATTTCTTCATACCAAAGGATGCTTATCTGGAGTTGAAAAAAAACTTTGCAAGAGGCCTTTAAATTAAATTTCTGAATAAAAATAGGTAGAATCATTTCTGTTACTGTGCAACTTCTAAGTCACAGGTCAACAGCTCTGCAGCTGAAAAACAGAGAACAGAAACACAACAGTTGTTACTTAGAAGAGATGATATGCAACTAGTTACTACCTGATGGATTTGCAGGATTTCATTGTGGACAGAAGTTCAGCCCATCTAGATGGGCTCATCTCCTCACACTGGATGTCAAGCTCCATTTTAACAGTTGACTTAATATCTGCAAATTAAAAAAAAAAAATTTAAAAAATCAAACTTATTTTTTTGTTGACTAAGAAACAACAATCCTCTTCAGCCACCCTGCCCCCCAGCTCTCAGCCATGAGTTACACTGTGCAAAGAGGACAGATTGTGTTTTACCAACACCAGCCTGCTGCAAGCACCAGTAGGAGCCAGCAGCATTGGAGTGGTTTTGTCTGGGATTCGGCAAGGCCCTCCTCCAAGAGGCAAAAAAGCACACAGATCCTAGAGAAATATGGCAACAGCTTGTTACCTGAAGGCTGCCTGCACGAGAGTATGATGCTCCCCTTCCAAGGGAGCTTAACCAGAACAAACTTTTTAGAGGCACCAGTGCTACTCTCTCACTATTGTACCACTGAGCCACGCAGCCGCTGAGTATTACCAGTGTGGCACGCCTGACGGATTGTGAGACCTTGAGCTATACTTAAAATTAGGGTACTTTAGAGAGAATGAGGGTGAATGAGGAAGATGAGCATGAGAACTGCCTGGGCTCAGATTAAAAATCCTGCTGGCCACATGTCTGTATGTGAGAGGTGCAACCTAGGCAGATGGGAGAAGCGTTCCTCCATGATTTAATATCCAGGCTTTGAAAGGTCACTCTGGTTGGGCAAGGCCAAGTACAGAGAAGCTGGTAAGCAAGAATTTTTTTTGCTCTCCAGAATGCATTTCTTAACTGATGTAAACACAGCACCGTGCAGAGCAGCTCTAGCATGCACAAAAATATGCCAAGGCCAATAGCTGAGCTCTAGGCTGAGGCTACAAGGGATAGTATTAAAGGCAGCACTCCAGTAGCTGACAATATGCAGTCTTGGTGTCTTGGCTTTGCTAACATGACTCAGACTACAGGGTATTTGTAAAAAAAAAAAAAAAAAAAAAAAAAGAAAAAAGAAAAAAGAAAAAAACCTCCTGAGCGATCACATTGGAATGCGAACAGTAAAAAAACCCCCACCAGGCGTTACTGACAGCAGTTCTACACTGTCTTCACCCATCTCAGTCAGCTCCTGCTACCATAAAATCAAGGGTATCCCAAAGTAGCCTTGTGACAGAGGCAAGCTCGGTATCAGAACACACAACAACAGACCCCTCACCCACAACAGACCCCTCACCCACAACAGACCCCTCACCCCCAACAG